AGACATACAGCCGGAGGTCAGATGAAACAACCACAAAGTCGATCATCGACCTCCAGCCTAGGGTGTCCTGGTGCCACATGCACTGATGGACACCCTTATGCTTGAACATGGTGTTAGTAATGGACAAACTGTGACTAGCACAGAAGTCAAGTAACAGAACACCGCTCGGATTCAGATCGGGGGAAGGGGGGCGTTCCTCCCAATCACGGCCTTCCAGGTATCACTGTCGAATGTTTATACTTTTATTTAGCTATTGGATCAAATTCTACACCAGGTGTGAAAAAGAGGGTTAGGTTGATATAGCAGCTATTATGCTGTGTGAAATGTGATACAAAAATAAAAGACCAGAGCCAGTGACAACTTGACAGACTGCATACTTGGGGCAGGGCAGTAAACAGGGGGTGCAGCAGTCATGTTGCAGCCTGAACAACAGCACTGTGTCATTAAACACCAGTTACAGCTGAGGCAGTGTCCAACTTCATTCAGCAGCCCTCTGGAATGAATCCATAGACTTACTTGACATACCAGCCATCACTGAATTCTTAATTATAAATACATGAGAATTGCAACAGTATTTCCTGTTGACCTTTTTTTAGAGTCATGTTTTGAGATTATGCTGATACATAAACACAACCTTATACTGAGTTTAAGTTAAATTATTAAAACAAAAGCACAAGTCACAAATTAAGCAGTTTCACCTCGGGAACGATGCTGAATAGTATAAAGTTAACAAGACTTGACAAAAGACTAATACATTTACTTGTCTGCATCTGACACATGAACCAACCGGCAGTTAATGTACACCTCTGTAATGACCAAAAACCACGCTAACGTTAGCTCCCGTGACTTGACAACACTACAGATGTTTGCTCTTCGTCGGCTAAAAGAGAAGTTAGCTGAAATCGCTAACAAATCCAGACAATAACAGGAAAACCTACTAATTTTGTTATTGGCGTTACGTTAAGGCGTTGATTACGGCATAGACTTAGTGAATTCTTTGTCGATGGTCTGAGTTAACCTAGTTAATAACTACATTACGCTAATTTATTACCTGGGTTAACCGCGGTTATTAAGTGACTGTTAGCTAACGTTAGTAAAAGGTTAGGTAACGTTAGCCTGGGTGTGTTAGCGGTCATGTTTACAAGTAAAAGGGACTGTGGGCTCACGTTAGCCTTGCTCTGCCATTTTTGGAGTTGGGTAATGCCAATGTTAGCGCTCACTACAAACGCCCATTGACAGTGACAGTTGGCGCTTCCGAGCTAGCCAGCTAACATTTCTCCCCTGGCAAGTGTCTCCAAATTATGAATGCCAAATGACATCAACTGCCTCGAGACTTTCACAGCTCGCACCCAACTTACCATTTTTCAGCTCATGTTTCACAGTTAACAGGTCACCTTCTCTGGAAGATCCCTCCATCGGGGATGGCATCGTAATTTCGTGCTCCAATTATGTTCAAAGATGCTGCACAGACAACGCTGCGGTCACCTCGTAAGCTAATTTGCGATACATGCAGTAACTAACACATATAACGCGAGCATTAAACAACTGTGAGTTCAGCGGCGAACCTGAGAGATGTATAGGTAAAATGTTATTACTAGTTAAGCACAGGAGCAAGCCAGTCCTATCGAAACACTTGCTTCTTCCAGCACACCACCACTACCAGTATGATCTTCGCAATTACACAGTAGCTCTTCGCTGATTGGTGTTGCTACGTGAAAATCTGGCCTCTGATAGGATCCTGAAAAAAACTTAAAAAAAAATGTTTAATGCAGCGACACATGATCCCGCCTCCCTCACAAGACTGATGCTGCCTTCAAATGCCTCTCGTTAAATTCTATATCAATGGTCAGAAGCGTAAAACTTTAAGTGCAATCAACTGTTCATAAAAAGATACAATAATATTTATTCTATAGTAAGTATTAGGCAATATAGTAATTCTGAATGAAATGTGCTTTGATGTCTTTTAATTCATTTTATAATGTAAGTGGTATCAGTATTAGGCTAGTTCAGTGGTGGAGAGTAAGTATTTTATGGAAGCACTAACCTACACTTATTTTGAGATACTTGCATTTTACATTACTTTAAAATTCTACTCCAGCACATTTTGGTGGATTTTTTTTACTTCACCTTTTTGAAAGATACAGTCACTAAGTCACTAGTAAAATCTTCACAAGCATAAGATCATGCATATGATGTGTTACCACTGATGCACTACCTGTACTTCAGAATCGCAATACTCCTGACTCCAACTAGGCGGTTAAGGGGAAAACTTGACAAGACAGCATGTACTTCCATCTGTCTATTATCTATACCACTTATTCCTGAATAGGGTCACAGGGAGGCTCAACCCTATTGGGTGAGAGGCGGGGTCCACCCTGGACAGGTCACCAGTCCATCACAGGGCAGACATGTAGACAAATAACCACATATGGCAGCGTGTACATATACAAAAAACTTTAGTTCATTTTATGAAGTGCCTTGAAATTTTCCAGTATCTATTAAGAGCATCTTGTTTTGCCATAGTGAAATGCAGATACTGGTATGAAAGAGTAAATTATTGTGCAAGACAGACAGCATATCAGAAGAATGATCAGTTCCTGTTGGTTAAAATATTTGAAAGGTAAACGTATTTGAAGTTGGCTACCAGAAATTAACATCACAACTAAATCATAAGTTGCCATGGATTTGTTTATTTCCCATTTTGTCATTTTCAGTTTATATTTTCATTTAAGGCAACTGTGAAACATGCTCATTTTTCCATTCCATTGTTTTGCAAACTTTGACCTGGTACAGATGACATGCAAAACAATGCAAAGTGCTGCTGGTGATAAATGGCTAAATGAATATAGGAAACTGAGCTTTATCATTAATCTATAATTATCCTAGTACATGCTAAAACCAGGTATAAACGTCACAGATACTCACCATTAAATCAACAATGCACCCTGTGTATTCTGTATGTATAGGTGCCATTTCCCATAGATGGTTAATGTAATGTAATTCATGCATTTGTACACAGGGTGGCACATTTGTGCTGTGATCAATGTAGAGTATAGGAGATCCCTCAGGCCAGATGTATTCTGAGCTGAGATAATTAACAATTTGTTGCAACACAAATTTTGACTAAGTTTTCAAACTTCCTTTTTTGTCTTTTGTGAATGTGAAATATTGGATAATTTGACCTCTTTTGAACTCAAACTATTTTTTGAAAATTTCACAGGGGCAATGTGTCATTGGTAGATGGCATTGAATTGTGACAGAAAATGTTATTTCTGTGCTTATATAATCCGCATACAGTGACAATTTTGTATATAAAAGGTGCAAAGGTTTAGCGTCTCATTTGAGTTTGGACAATTACTCCCATATATGCCAACTTTGAAGCAGAGTGATGATTTTGTTACAAAAGAATAATAGTATTAGTAGTATTAGAATAATAGTACTAAGATAATGTAAAGCTTGTCTTCATCTTTTCATATGTGCATTTGTGTAGAATGAGTTCCCCCTAAAATATAGTTATGTTGATTAAAAATGCAGCTCTGCATATACCTTATATACCTTAGGCTTATGATACCCTATTTGAAGATTAAATAAAACATCTTTCCCAAATTTATAATTGCTGTTACTTTTTACACTTTGAAGTCTGAGCCTTCTGAGGCAAATTTGTGATTTGCATTATATGTGGCTATACAAATAAATAGTGCCCTGATTTTACTTGATTTCTGCCTCCACCTTGTGGTAGCATGCTGCTTTTGCTTTCTAATATTTTTTACATTGAATTTTTTTCTGCATGTATAAAGTTGTAATAACTACATCATTATATATTTGTCCAAAAATATTGAAAACTATTTTACTTACACAAAATGTTGTCACATAGTTAAGATGTTTGGTTAATTTCACGTATACATTCTTACATAATTACATTCTAAAATAATTATCTTCTACACCACACAAGTAATATACTAAAGAATTTTTACAAAGTGTTAACATTCATACACCACACCCACAATTGTCCATGTAATTAATCATTGAGCCTGTTCTTGCATATATCTTGATTGACACATACCTTTATATTTATGTTTAAACTCGTCAATTCTATTACTATTTTTTATGTCTACACTTAAATTATTCCATAGTTTTACCCCACTTATGGAAATACAAAATCTTTTTTTGGTTGTACGTATAGCATGAATTTTTAAATTTAACTGACCCCTTAAATTGTATCCCCCTTCCCTTTCATTAAATAGTTTTTGAATTCCACCAGGTAATAAATTGCTCCTGGCTTTATACATAAACACTGCAGTCTTATATCCAACTAAATCAAAAAAGTTTAACAATTTAGACTGTATGAAAGCTCCATTGGTGTGATCCCTATACCCCATCTTATGCACAATTCTTATCGCTCTTTTTTGTAATATATACAATGGTTGAAGTGAGCTTTTGTATGTATTTCCCCAGTTTTCAAGGCCATACTCTAAGTATGGTAGAATCAATAAGGAATACAAAATGCGTAGTGCTTTCCCGTCCAAAATATATCTAACCCTTGCCAATATCGATATATTTTTTGCTATTTTGTTCTGAACATATCTCTATGAGTTGAGGTATTTTGCAGACACACAAATCTTGTTTTTTTTTCAAGTTACAGGTCTCTTATTGCTGAGACACACACCAAGTCACTAGGTGGGGGTAACGCACCTTAAGGCATGCAAACCGCCAATATACTACAAAAGAAGAAGACGCGTCAGAGGCTAGCTAGCTCCACTTTGCACTACTGCTAAGTGACCTCCGCTCCTAACATGGCTGGTGTTCGAGCCTTTGGTGTTCTTTCCAGGTTGACATCTAGGAGATATGCTCTTTTCAGAGGTAGAAATTGCAGGAATCTATTCTTTAACAATTAACCAAAAGGCGTAGAAAATGATATTAAAACAATAAGATTTAGAAAGTGTCGTATCACAATGTAATTAGCTTGTTTGAATAGCTGTTAGCTTCGGACTGTTCTGCAGAAATAGTCGTAGTGCATCACACAGTAAGGTCGTTTAGTTTTTTTCTTTTTTAAGCAAATATAACTGTCATATCTCAATGAACGTCTATCCGGAATAGTTATTGAACGCGGGTTTTGTGAACTTTTTGTTTTAGTAAGCAAACTTTTAAGTGTAATCTTGAAAGCTAGCTAACTTAGCTGCCACAGAATCACGTAAGTCGGGGGAGCTCTGGTTCAAAACTGAAGTTTTACATCAGATTGTTTCCTTCCACTTTTGACTGTAACACGCCTTGTCAAGATAATTTAGACAGGGTTCGTCTTGTGCCATTGAGATAGCGTTAGCCACATTCTGTCAAAGGCAGGCAGAGAATGTAGGTGAAGGGTCATTTCCCACTGGATTGCACCGCGTGGCCAAAACCAAGTGGGGTCATGAGTGAGCATCTCGTATATATGTCATATAAAGGCTGTACGAAGACATTTTGTTTCGATAGAGTTTTTAGAGCTTAATGGTTTTAATTTGGGTGATAAAGATTAAGCATCTAGGCGATTTGCAGAAGGTTGGATGAAGTACAAAAAGTGTTAGACTATTTTGTTTACTTTAATTTTTCTCTTTACAGGCAGCAATTGTCGCACCTTCTCAGTAGCTCCTGTCATGCTAGGTAATTCTGAAATAAACACATCTGTACAGTGGTCTATATGTATAAAAATAGGGCACAATTATTTTCTCACTGTACATTATCTTCCCTCTGTTTTAGCCCGTACACATGTGAACTATGAAGTCAAGGGTGATGTTGCAGTTATACGGATCAACGACCCAAACTCCAAGGTGTGAGCGCATGAGGAATGAATGTGGTAATTTTCACTTATGGGAAGAAATGAGAACCTAATGGTAATTTCTCCTTTCAGGTTAACACATTGTCAGTGCAAATGCAAAAGGAGATGACTGAAGCAATGAATGAAGTGTGGGACAACAATGCTATTCAGAGTGCTGTCCTCATCTCCTCAAAGCCAGGATGTTTCATTGCAGGGGCTGATATCAAGTAAGAAAAACCTCCTTAAATTCACTGCTTCTTGAATTTTGAAAAGTGTGTGCATGGCACTTTAGACAGGTAATGTGACTTCTGTTTGCAAAGCATTTTGTCTACTTGTCTGAAGCAACAAGCATGCATGTTTATGGACTCTTAGCATTAAGATATTCCATTGCCCCCAAATGAAAAGTCACAGAGGCTTGTCATTGTCTTGGATTTTCTGGAATTATTTTAATGTATCCTACATCTGTTACAGTATGATCCAGTCCTGCAAGACTGCAGAAGAGATCACCAGACTTTCTCAGGAAGGGCAGATGATGTTTGATAAGGTTGAAAAATCTCCTAAGCCCATTGTTGCTGCCATCAATGGCTCTTGCTTAGGAGGAGGCTTAGAGGTAGACAAAAATAATCTGAGCAACCAATTATGTTCGACTGTGTTGGATATCTTTGACTTGGATTATTGATGATAACATGTTATCTAATGAGCTGTTTTGCATTTCAGTTTGCCATTTCCTGCCAGTATAGAATTGCAACAAAGAGCAAGAAAACAGTTCTTGGTACTCCAGAAGTAATGCTGGGTCTTTTACCTGGAGCTGGTGGTACTCAGAGACTCCCCAAGATGGTCCGTACTGAAATTAAATTCCCTACATTTTCATTGCTGTCCATCACTGTTTCACTAACAGTATGTTTTCCTTCACCTCCTTTAGATTGGTCTGCCCAGTGCTTTTGACATGATGCTAACAGGAAGAAATATCAGAGCAGATAAAGCCAAAAAGATGGGGCTTGTTGACCAACTTGTAGATCCTTTAGGTAAAATTTGCATATAACCACATGATTACATGTTGATGTGCTTTAAAGATTCACCACCTGTAGATACTGTAATCTGTGCACTTTGGTCAGTGCTTGACTGTGCATCAGGTGGTGTAAGGATGAAACAGATTTTTTAAGATTTATCTTTTCTGCTCATATTTATAGGACCTGGACTGAAGAGTCCAGAGGAAAGAACAATAGACTACCTCGAGGAAATTGCCATTGAATGTGCCAGAGGAATTGTTAACAAGAAGATCCCTCTTCACAAAGAGAAAGGCATGATGCAGAGTAAGTTGTGCTACATTTATGGAGCATTTGACTCTTTGTAGTCAATTTTTCATCATGAATTAAAAAAAAACGTATAAAGTTAATGTTCTTTCTCTACAGAAATTCAAGACTATGTTATGAGCTTTCAGATTGTACGGAATCAAATTTATAAAACAGTCTATGGTAAGGTTATGAAGCAGAGCAAGGGACTTTATCCAGCCCCCCTGAAAATTATTGAAGTAAGTAAAAGCTCATTCAGAGTAATAACTCTCTCTAGAAATGATCATGCACATGCTTTCATAAATTATTAAATAGGGTAATACTTTAATTACTCTGCACAGAAGAATATATGTGTATACACACACACATACATGAGGCTGCTTACTTCTACATCTCTGTTTGCTACATCTCACCTGGTGTGTCTGCACTGCAGTGCACTTGGCTGCTGTCCTCCTCCCTTGCATCTCTCTCTTCCTGACCCTCCCTTGCTGCTTCAGCAGCACTGGTTGAAGTCTGGGAGTATTGGAAACAAATTAATTGGATCACTGATCACACTGGTCAGCTTTCGCACATGTTTTCTTATGTTTCTAATGTTAACTCAAATTTGTTAATACCTTTGGTCTGTACTGTCTGCACGTCCAGAGGACAAGTCCTTTGAGTTTTGAAGAATATTTTTTATTATTCCTCTGGACTGAGGGAACTAACATTCAGCATCAGAGTTGTTAATCATCTTGTTTTAGAAAATTGGTTGCATTTTTTTATATGACTTAAAATGTAACATTTGCCATTATTGATTCTCCCTCTTAGTGTGTGAAGACTGGACTAGAACAAGGTCCTGTAGCTGGATACTTAGCTGAGGTTCAGGTAAGGTTTGTTGGCTTACATCACTGGCAAATTTACAGTAGTGTGTTGTGTAAATAAAAAAACCAACAATTATGTTTGTCACAGAATTTTGGTTATTTGGGAAAAACTCCAGAATCAGCAGCCCTGATTGGTCTTTATCATGGTCAAGTTGCATGCAAAAAGAACCACTTTGGAACTCCTCAAAGAGAAGTGAAGTAAGTGTGAGTCACTTGCACATATAAATAATGCATGTTCAAACTGCATTTGATATGTCAGACTAGTTGTTTGGTCATGGTTAAATACTTGGTTGCTGTTGATGACAAAGCCATATTTGATACACATGTTGACACATTTACACAGATGGAAAACAGATTATCCTTAGTTTCTGCTTTGATGTAATGTAACTATGAGAGTCTTAGGATCAATCTTCCTATCATGTGCTCTTCTGTTTCTTTTTTAGGTGCTAGATAAATTGTCTGTCTCTTTCCGCTAGGACTCTTGCTATCTTGGGAGCAGGTCTGATGGGAGCAGGTATTGCCCAGGTGTCTGTAGACAAAGGTGTGCACACAATACTGAAGGACACAACAGTGGATGGACTGGCCAGGGGAGAAGAGCAGGTTTACAAAGGGTGGGTTTTTATTTATTGTATCAGGTATTTAATTTTTTGTTGTTCTGATCATCAAAAATGTTATTTCCAGCAGGTTAAATGTTTAAAACACATCCCAACTTTAAAAATGGCAGATGCAGTTACATTGTTTTGACAGAAGAACCTAAAACAGATGAATCGCCTAAATATGTTATTTGAAAGTAGTTGTAAATGTTGTAGTATAAATGGGATCAGTCCTTAAATGTGTGATCTTAAAGTATGTTGATGAATTATCTGACTTTTATTGTGAACAAGGCTCAATGACAAGACCAAAAAGAAGAGCATCACGTCATTTGAGAGAGACTCCATACTGTCCAACTTGACCAGCCAGGTGGATTACAGGGGCTTTGAAAAGGCCGACATGGTTATTGAAGCTGTCTTTGAAGATATTAACATCAAGCATGCAGTCCTGAAGGAGGTGGAGGCTGTAAGTGTGGCTGAGAAGAGGCTCAGTAAGCCTAGCTTAAAAAGTGAATGTATTTGTACTGTAATAGTTCAGTAGTTTAGCTTTGACTTGGAGCTACAGTCTAACACACATTTGCCTTCAGGTGGTCCCCCCCCACTGCATATTTGCCAGCAACACATCTGCTCTGCCCATCAAGGATATTGCTGCTGGCAGTAAGAGACCAGACAAGGTTTGTACTTTGGAGCCTTGTCACATAAAAACCTTAGTTTGCCATTAAATTAAAAGAATCACTGTTGCTGATTATTTTCTCTGTGTTCTTAGGTGATTGGAATGCACTACTTCTCTCCAGTTGACAAGATGCAGCTCCTTGAGATTATAACCACTGATCAAACGTCAAAGGACACTACAGCCTCTGCTGTGGCAGTCGGCCTGAAGCAGGGCAAAATCATCATAGTTGTTAGGGTGAGTTTGTTTCATGGTTTTTTTTAGTAATTAAAAACCGACTATTTTAATCCTTGATTAAATATTCACATAGTAACATAAAAAGACTGACAATGAAACCTGTAAGTGGTTGAACGTGATTCAGTATTATGACAACATCTTTGCAGGATGGACCTGGATTCTATACAACTAGGTGTTTGGGCCCCATGGTGGCTGAAGCAGTGCGACTACTTCAGGTTAGTAGCATTCTATCACAGTGCAAACTGTAGCTGTGAATACTCTATTGTGAAGTAAGAGTCTCAACTCGGGCAGAGAGAGCTCACTAGTTACATCGGGATAGTTGTTATACATCCTGTGTGTGTGTAATGTATACACTCAAAACTTACAGGAAGGGACTGACCCCAAGAAATTAGATGCACTCACCACAAGCTTCGGGTTCCCTGTGGGTACAGCCACATTGGCTGATGAGGTTGGCATTGACGTTGCTGCCCATGTGGCAGAGGACCTCGGCAAAGCTTTTGGCTCTCGCTTTGGCGGTGGAAATGTGGAGGTACTGAAGACCATGGTGGATAAGGGATTTAAAGGTATGGGTGGTCAAGTTGAAGGATTGTGTTCCATTTATTCTCTGTGTGTGTATATTACTATAAGTACTTTATTTTTTATTTTCCTAATGCACATTCCTTTTTCTTGTTTGCACATTTTTTCTTTTCTTGCTGTCTCAGTGTTGCTTACTTGTCTACTCATTGCCTTACGGAAGAGCATTGTACACACACATTCAGAGCCATTGTACCAGAGTCAAATTCCTTGTGTGTCCAACACACCTGGCCAATAAAGCTGATTCTGAGTTTTGTTGGACAAAGTGCTTCACTATTAATTATTTTTAGAATGTATTGTATAAATGTTAAGTCCTTGTTTTTATTTCCCTCAAGGCCGCAAATCAGGAAAGGGTTGCTACATCTACCAGAGAGGACTCAAACGCAAAGATGTCAACCCAGAGCTTGGTGACATCCTTGGGAAATACAAGATGACACCAAATCCTGCTGTGTGAGTTTACACTGGACAATTGCAAAAGTAACTAGATAGCAGTCAGAGAGCACAAACCTATTATTATTATTATTGTTATTTTGAAAGCATTCTAGGTAGTTTGTATTAGGTTAAAAGCAAAAATGTTGAAATTAGCCCTATTTCACAATGGTGAATAGTCCTTTAAAAAAA